TTTTTAAGCGTTAAAGTTAACACTCCATAAGGTCATATTCATACAAATCAAACTGAAAAAATTTCCAGGCATACAAACTGTCATCTCTGTTAATGTGCCATCTTTCATCCTCAAATGTCAAAAATGGATTTATTTTAATGATACAAAAAAATCTAGAAAGTCAAATCCACTGTCCATTTGTGTTGGGTAAGAAACCTGTTGTCTTCATTCATTTCATGAAATCCATGTTAAAAGAACCCTGTCTTGGTTGTATATTATCACAGCACTCTTGTATTAATCCATTTTCCTCTATTTCCCATAGTGGACTGCCACCTTGATTTTTCAGTTGCAGGGTCCATTTGAGACTCTTCAAGCTGACTGGGTGTTAATGCTTCATCAACATCTAGTCCTTTGTACAGGCTCTTTAGAGATTCAGTCTCAGGATTCACATTTTAGCTGTATAAAATACAGACTTTCGCAAAGATTGCCTTTACCCTCAAATATAAAACCCCATGGTCTCAGTCTTCAAAGTGGTTTGTCTCAAATAAAAAAGCTGTATTTTTTCAGAACAAAATTTAATTTTAAGCCTCTAAGTTACCAGTCCGAGCACAGCTGACAGGACCTCAGGTTGCCTGGACGATTCCCACACCATGGCTCCTGCCTGCACCCGGTTGAGCCACAGGGCCTGCTGGCTCACAGCGCCTCTGCCATGGGAGCCAACCCCAGCGTGTGGCCCATCTCCTCTCAGCCGCGGCTGCTTTGCCTCTGCGGGCCTGCGCGCTGCCTGGCACAACTCTCCAGTGGTGAGCCCTGGGACCAACTGCAGCGATACACCCCATCCCCTCATCCACCCTCCCACCTCCCTCAGGTGGCCTGCAGCCCCAGGTTCCTGTGCCTCTATATATTTTATTAGTAATTGGTTTATTGCTTTTCGCTCTACTAGAATGTATATTCTTTGAGGGCAGGGCATGTTCTAGGTTGTACATCCTCTGGACCTAGAACAGTGCCTGGCACATAACAGGCACATATGACATTTAAGTTTTACCTTTTTAATGATTTCATTACGTTGTAACACTAAAATAGTAAACCAGCCCTGGCCAGTAGCTCAGTTGGTTAGAGCATCATCCCCATATGCCAAGGTTGTGGTTTCACAATAAAAAAGCTGTATTTTTTCAGAACAAAATTTAATTTTAAGCCTCTAAGTTACCGGTCCGAGCACAGCTGACAGGACCTCAGGTTGCCTGGACAATTCCCACACCTGGTCAAGGCATACACAAGAAGCAGCCAATGAATGCATAAGTGGAACAACGAATTGATCTGTCCATCTATTTATCTCTTTCTCTCTCTGCCCCCTTTCCTGTCTCTCTCTAAAACCAATCAATAATTTTTTTTAAAAAAAGTAAACAAGCATAAAAATTAGCAAATGCCAACAGCCTTTAAAAAATAGGTTGCATTTTTTTCAAAATTAAACTGGTTATTTTGTTATTTTTCCTAATTACCAAAACAATGTATTTTCATACACAGAGACAATTTTGAAAATACAGAAAAACATAAAAAACATAAAGAAAAAGAGGTACCTGTACTGTCACTCCCCAGTGACACAGAACTGATACCCTACCTCTGGATGCTGCTGGCTCACTAAAACATCATGTCACAATTAAAGCTCATTTTTCTGATCCTTTCTACAAGCTCTTGCACACATGACCCCATTCATCTGATACATAACACCAGCACAGCGCAAGGATTAAGAGTGAGGACTAGAGTCAGCCTGCCGGGGTAGGAATTCTGGATCTGCCACTAATAGGTGGATATACTTGCACACTTGAAACTTCTCCATGCCTCCACCTTTCACATCTGTAAAAAGAAGCTAATAAATAGTACCTACCTAGAGAGCTGTTATGAGAATTCAAGAAGTTAATATTTGTAGAGCATTTAAGAGTGTATAGCAACACTAAGCAAGCATTTGTGAAATACATTTTCAAAAGCAAAAATAAACTACCCTTTCAATTTTCAAGTGAATAAATGGTCTGCATATTTTATTTAAAACATTTTGCCTAACAAATAGGCCTTGCAGTTAGGTAGAGAACTGTTCCAAGAAACCATAGTTCTTAATGATCATTAGGTTAAATGGGAAGGGAAAAAAATTACCTCATAAACTTATCCAATATATCCTCTAACCACATGTGCATTCGAAGGGGCTGAAATCCATACTGCCAAATTAGTTTAATTATGTTCATTATAAACCAGCTGCTCTCCTCAAATACCAGAGTCTCTCCATTAGAGACCCCTATTAGGCCACCAGAACTCTGAAGAGTAGACAGACCTGCAAAAACAGAGAAAGGGTAGCCAAGTCAGTAGTTTCTATGTTGATCAAATGAAAGGTAATCTGAAGCTATTGCGGGACACTCTCTGAAGTGAATTCTGGGCTTCCCCCAGTTCTCAGGAGATATATCAAAGGAGCTCTATCTTTAGAATAGTGATACAATACACTATACACTCACTACACTGTTCAAAAGCAAATTCTCTAAAAGATGGGTCATGCAGATATATCAAAATTAGACTGGCTATTTTTAGTCCGAAGAGACTAAAAAGTCAAAAGAAAAAGCCAGACTACCAACTGAATTCAACTTAAAAACAGAAATATCAGATATGAATCTTTGCAGCATAAATTGCTGCTGGCATATACTTGCCCTAGTGGGAAAAAAAGAGGTTCAGGAAGCACCCAAAGGAGGTATCCTAGTCCTCTGCAAATACTCTTTTCCAGTATTTCAAATACTGGAAGGAGGCCAATATTACCCAATATTCCTTGAGAGAAGGGCCTGCAGAGGCCTGCCTGATCTCCCTCATAACCAGTCCAGCTCCTCTGCTGATAGGGAAGTAGTCAACCAGGCATCCCAGCTTCTAAGCACATGTCTGTACCCACAGCTGTGAGTGACTTTAAGCCTGACACTTTAAGCATCTGGGCCTCATTTTCCCAGCTATAAAATGAGCACACTAGGTTTCTGCTAACTTGATTCTTTGATTCAACAGAAACCCACAGGTTGAAGAAACCCACAGGACAACAGCAACCATCCCCACCCCCTCAACCTCTTGGTTGTAATTCCAGATAACTTAAGATGCTGATACTGGTGTCCCATTACAGGAGAGTGCCTCCTAACTAAGGCAGTGCCAACTGCTAGAAGGAAAGTGAGGAAACTAGTTTCACTGCCTTGTCTGTAAAAGACAATTAACAAGGTGGAAAAGTTTCAGTTCCCTATGTGATAAACATATTCATGGATGGTCACACAGAAAGCTCCATAGCTCTAAGACCAAATTACATACCCAGGTCCTTGACAAAACGCTTCATGTGCAGATTTAAAGGATGGATGACAGAACCTCCAGCTTCATATTCCTGCCCCTGTATAGTAATGGTGGCCAGTCGGCCCCCCACCTTTCCTCTTTCAAACAGGTCAATCTTCACATCTTTCCCAAATTTCTGGCGAAGATAATAGGCTGCTGAAGTGCCACCAATTCCAGCTCCAATTATCGCTATGGGGTGAAAAAAGGAAGTTTCTTTCCCTCTGACCAGTTCTGTGGGTTTTGTTTGAAAGGCCATTAAGCAATAACAGATGTTACTGAAGGCTATTTATTACCAACAATTTAGGGAAGCGCGGAGAGGGGAAGGCCAGTGACAGTTGCAGTGAAGGCAGAACTCTGAATCTGGACAGAAGCACTGCCCCCAGACAAAAGCGGCAGTCAATTAACTTACAAATTGACATTCGATTTTTTTATTATTTTTTTTTTGCCAGATGCCCAAACATTCTCACAGTTTTTTCGGGAGGCACCAATGGGCATGCACAACCTTCTTTGTGCCCAACTCGTGGGAACAGAGGAGGTGGGTCTTTCCAGCACGCATTTTAAACAAAGTGGCCGCCATTTTTGCCTAGATTTGCTGTTTCATTGAGGCAGGTAAATTATCCCAAAGAACAGTTTTAAAGGGAATAAGAAACAAAGCAAAACAAACAGCAAAAAACAAAAAACAAAAAAAACCAAACGACTGAAGCTAGAGAGCGCGCGGATTATCTCAGCTTTGCAAGCAGGGGCCTCGGGGCGCGGGCGGGCCCACCGCGCCGGAGCGGGCGCAGAGGCGGGTCGCGCCCCCGCAAGGGGAGCGGACGGGGTCAGCTTGTTTTCGCCGCCCGCAGTGCTGAGCCCTCGCGTGCCTGTCATCTGCAGCACGTAAGAGACCCGTGGCTCCAAGACAAACCAGAAGACTGTCCTCCCGAAGGAGCCGCAAGGGCAGGCGGCGGGAGGGCGCTCGGGCTCCCCCTCCCAGCGGCTTCCGAGCCAGCGGCTGCGGGACGCTCGGGAGCCGCTTGCCCGCCCGCCTG